TTTTGGGTTCTTGAGACATGCCGGACAAATCGTTTGACACAGATTAACCAAAAAACGTCACAAAAACAGGTATACAACTGAAAATAACTACGATCAGACAAGTGAACCCGTAGTATTTTTGTGCTAAAAGTAATAACCACACTAGCAGTTTCTATGCCACACACGTATGTGTGACTCTCTGTTTTGTGTAAGGTAACTGCGACATCGGTTTTTCGTTTTGATCTGAATACGCTAGATTTAATCCTTAGAAAAAGCACACCGAAAATCTAAATCATGGAGGTTCATTTAAAATATAATTCAACTTTTCTAGTTCTAGATGGCCAGCTTCAAAATAACGTCAACGCATTACTTTGTCACGCAATCGTGAACACCTTTATTTGAATAGGATTGTAATCCATCTACCATGTGCTAGAGAGGTCGATTCAATAGTCATATTATTATCAGAGACAGCAAAAGTCGCCTGTGATAACGATGCTAATTTACCTTACCGCAGCCACGTTTATTCGCCTAACTTTCAAGTTTCAAACTGAAAATGCAAAACGAAGAACGAAAAGGAACTTTGCGCCAACTTTCCAAAATAATGTGTACGTGTCTACACAACCAACGCTCAAAGTGTTCTTGCATTTGATACACTCTAATTGCGCATTGAACTACAGGTTTTAAAATCTATGCAAAGCAATGGTAGCTGAGATTCTCATGCCTACTAATTTCTCATTTTGGTGTGGATGAAAATGAACTGTTAGCGAGATCGTTCAAATGAGAATGGTATGGTACACATCACTAGAGTATATCTGCGTGAGAATAGTTTAGGCTGGGGCATTATCCATGCACAACAATACCGCTGCCACGGGAAATTATCAATATATATATATGTATATACGATTTTGCATGAAATAAAAATTGATTTTACAAATTTAGCAGACTCATACGTCTGACTTCCTCTTTCTACTGGTATCTGTTGACCTGACCACCTGTCTCCGGTTGGAGGTGTGTGTAATACGTTTGTTTATATTTAACTATAGAGCCTGTAACATCCATTGGTTTGGGTACGTTTTTGGTTGTGAAGAAACGTCACATGTCCCAGATTATTGTAAAGAAATTTTAATATGTCTGCTTTTGTTTAGATTTTAACCTCTCAATTTCTCTAACCTGATGATGCGAACTAGATGTTACTGTCCGCGTGAATAACTGCCGGCAATACTCCATGTCCATTAGTTCGTAGGAGAACACACGAATCAGTTATTTGAGTTTCGTTTTGCAAAAGAATAGTAACGATCGTCTAGCTTAAACGCACTGTTATGTTTCCATTGTAGTGACGCAAACTTGCTCAGGTGTGCACGTTCCTCTAGATGAGAGACACTAAACCTATCCCCAAATCTCCTCACACACTGCCAAATAAACTACAAGTTGCTTAGACCAAGAATAATTCCCAAGATGGATGCAGCTTCTCTCTAGGAGTTATCTAAGATTAAGTTGACAGGTGACCGCATGATGAGGATTGCATTAGTGAGGGACGAATTGGAGTTAGTATAACTAATAATCAGCCATTGGTGGCCGAACGCTTGCGTGTTCGCCCCGCTAGCCGAGATGTCCTGGGGTTGAATCTTTCCAGAGTTTTAATATACAGGCTGCTGACGATTCCCAGTAAAGATAAGATAACCGTGCAACGCTTTTTGGCTCTTCACTATGGATTGGCTCCACTTATAGTACGATATTCCCTCTAAAAATTTGAGAATGGCCTTACACTTGACTCGGCCGATTGTTTTGTCTTCGAGAGTCTTAAATACGTAGCCAAACCGTACATATTCTTTCTATCTCTTCATAGAGATATATACTTTGAGCTCTAAGAAGCAGCTTAGGATGGTCAAAAAAACTTTCGGAAGAAAAGAGATTTAGTGGCAGCCACAAGTGGCGCAAAATCATTCAGCATATCTCTTAAGCCACACGGCAAAATTTTATTGTTTAACGTTGCATATATTGGTTAGCTTGCGCTCCAGCAGATGATTGCAGTAGTGAAAAAAAACCAAAGTCAAAAATTCTTGCTGGTGGTTGCGAAAGATAGCACACCCTCTTGGAAATCCTGGCTCTTTTTCACTCAAAGGAGATAGCGTCTTGAGCCCTTCATTTCTCGCAATCAAACTGTTGTAATGTATAATTTTGTTCCGTTAAATGACCATTGCAACCCGGAAAGCAGATTCTGTATAGCAGCGAAGTAAAACAGGAGGTAAACAGCCTTTAAACCTATTGTTAGGAACACGTAATAGGACTGTTGGCGTAAAGGATGATGAGCCATTAAGGAAAACTCATATTTCTGACACGCGGATGTTTCATTATGTCAAGCTGGCTTGTTTAAATATATGGCAGAGGGAGTCTTCACTACATTCTAATGTGCTGTTGGCTTTCTGATTCTAAGACCTCATAAGATATAGTTTCCTGCTCAAACCCAAGGCAGTAAGCTTTTGCACAACTTAGTAAGCAAAAGGCGGTGACAGTAAATTCCATGGGAAAGATTTCTCCTGAGAACGAACTCAGAAATAAAAATTGGTGAGACGGAAAGTATCCCTTTCGGAAAATGCAGAAAGAATGTCTCCAGACGCTTTAAAGAAGGATCTATCAACCAAATTTGCTAAATAAGTTTGAAGTAAGATATTTCACATAAGCGGATTGGCGTATCACAGAAGTGACTTGCCTTAGCCTCCATCAATTAAGGGCAATAACAAGTCCCTAGGACCTAAAAATTGAAAAAAACGCCTTTTGACGTTCAAAATTTTTGTAATTCCTAAATTAACCAGCTCACAGATGATAATTGAAGGGCGTAATCTATTTTGAAGATTCATATCCAGAAAAGGCATCCAATATTGGTAAGTGAAATTAAGATTCCGGTATTGTCCAGACGTACTTCATGGTACATCTTTGACCAATTTATTAAATGGACAAGACCCTTAATAGCTTTGAGGTATGTTTAATTCCTCGGCTTAGACGTTTCTGACAAAATGCAAGAAGCTCATGATTTCAACCCGCGACGTTCTCAAGGAACAATATTATTAGCAAACTATTGATATTTCACGATGCATTCGGCGACAGTGAACATAGATTGTGTTTTTTGTTTGCCTGAGATAACGATAGCAAATGTTACCAGCAGCCTCCAAACTCAACTTGCTTGTAAATTTGTTTCTTGCAATAAACCCTTGAAGCAAGGCTACACACAGTGAGCAGCCCTTTAAAGAGCAGTTTGGACATGTTGAACACCACTAATCACATGACGTCCCCCAACGTGTTCAAAGCTTTCCATTCCATTCCCGGTTGATCTCGTGCTTTAATTTTTTTCACACAAACACAAAGTAGCCGCTAAAACTGATGACTGTGATAAAATAAAATCAATTGCGCGGTGACGGCAAATGCTCCGTCAACAAGATCGACTTCACCTCTTCCGTTCACCCGTTGGATGCAGAACAATCATTTGCAATGTGACTTGGTGAATCTGTACAAACTCAAACTCGCGACTATCGAGGAATCTTCTTACTGCGGAGATTGCTCAGAAGTGCTGCTAAGGCCGAACTTTGTCCGATATTTTGCAGCACTTCCGTATCGCATTGATGAAGATTACTGCTGTCGCCACCATTTGTTAGATAATGCGCAGAAGCTTTGTCAGCACCTATCCAGTTCAACGACCAATGCCGCCTCAATTTGGTGCTGTAGCTGTTCAAACTACTAGCCAGGAGGTCTCGGGTTCAAGACTCTTCGGAGTTTCGTGAGATGCGCACTGCTGATGATCCCAATAAGGATGGAACAGCTGTACAGTGCTTCTCGGCTTTTCAGCATAGATTGGCTTTACTGACAGGATGAAATCCCCACAGAACATCTTCTATTGCGCACAAGGAAGCGTTGACTTCTGAAACATTAGGCAAAGTCATATCAAGATGAGATGTTTGGAATCACTGACAGATTGTCTTCAGAATTAGAAAAACACAGACAAAAGCCCTCCTTCTAAAATATTTGGTAGTATCCGGGTTGTTTCTTCTGCTGTCAACCACATAAGCTTTCGGTAAAAAAAGCAGTTGCGTTCGAAGTTAAGTTAGCGATATTTGTAATAATTACAGGTTTGATATCGGGGGGTCAGCGATTCCATTTCTGTTCTTGGTGTAACCAAATGTCTGTAAACTGTGACGATATTTATCTCAGAACGAGCTATTGCACGTAAGTTAAATCTTTGACCTATCCAGTTAGGTCGGCAGTATACCGTGCTGAATTTCTAAAACTTATTAATCACCACCCCTTAGGAAGGATTATACGAGTTCGGCTTTAGTCTGAGGTATTCGTTTTACCAAAGTTACATATGTAGGGCACAGAATTCTCCACATGTTTTGTGTAACCGTTTTATAAAACCCACTTCACCACCCAACAAAACTGTTCACTCGGTCAGGCCATTACCGACAGATTGTTTTCAGAATAAGAAAAACGTCAAGAAATTTATGACAAAGACGGTGTTTCTAAAGCGTTTCGGGGGCATCCAGTTTTTTTCTTGTACTGCAGGCCAGAAGGGCACTTTTGTGGAACGCCAACTGCCTTTGACATTACGTTAGCAAACAGTAACTTACACCTGGCAGAGTTAATCCCTTAAGACCAATGAGATCATAGGGGCGGTTTGAGTTCTAAAATTGCCCTTTTTGTTTCCTTGAAGTAAACCATTGCATTTTCAGTTGTCAAACGAGGGGGACGAGATGGCTTAGTGGTTAGATCCTGAATTTTCTGACCGGAAGGTTCGTGGTTCCAACCCGACCCCTGCCTCTCGACTTCCCTGTCTAGGCTTAGGCGAACCAGCGCTGATGCTTCCTTCTGGTGGCATCGCAGTTAGACGCCGAAATTGTGCTACAGCTGAACATGTTTTTGTCAAACGCAAAATTCTGTGAAACCTATCTCAGAACGAACTGCTGCACGTAAGTAAAACTTCAGTATATTCATCTTTTTTCCATATTATTGTGCTGCATTTCTAATACGTAATGTTCACTGCCGCTCGGGAAGGACGGTCCAGGTTTGATCTTAGGTCAGGTTCTTCCCTTTTCAAACGGCACAATATTCTAACAATAGTCTGGGCAACCCTTTTATAAAAACCCTCTTGTCACACAACAAAACTATTTATTCAATCCCACATCGTCTGTGGGATCAACAAATTTGTCCTTGAGTCAAATCTGAAGCGTAGCATAACTGTAAATTTCTTTGCCTTAAGCAACATTATTTCTGAATTTTAAAAGATGCATACACAACCCGACAGTATGAACAGTTTAGGTTTACCAGAAAAAAGGTTATCTGATATGTCTTCTGTTAACAAGTGGGAGTTACGTTTCGCGAACAGAAACCCCAAATCTACTAGAATCCGCTACTATCGTGTCAGTCTCAAACAGGGAAAGAAAGTAAAGCGACATTTCAAAAGGTATTTGAGAGGAAAAGCATTTTGACCTCGTAGATCACATCTCAGACCTAAAAGTCCTCATATGGATTTGCAATGTTTTTCTTCAGTCGGTTATACGGTAAAATCGCCCGGTCTATTTGACAAACTTAACATCGCTAAAAGCGTCTGCTTCAGTTCGCAAGATTACTGCCCATCAGGCCAGCTGTTCAGCAAATTCAGCAATCAACATGACTGACTGAATTTCTTTTCCTCTAACGGGATCCAAAGTACATGTCTTTTGTCAAATCAATACATTACAATAACGGAACTAACAACGTTTCACTATTCTGGGAGAGGCCCTCACGCAGTATAAATTGAATCAGAACAGCGGGCTGTCTTTACCGTCTCAAGAAGTCAGAGACATCACAGAAAGCACATTGCCGAAAAATCCATTCAGCGTGTTTTCAATCATCACATCGTCACGGCAAAATTGTGTGGCGATGACCCTCATTCCGAGCCACACATGATCACTAGTACCCTTAATCATCCCTTATCGGTGAACCGGCATTCACATCATCATCGCTTTCATCCGGCCCGATAGAAACTTTTGAAAATCGGTTCTATTAAACCTGACGACTCTTCCGTTGGATTTGAATAAAGGGCTACGACCTACTGAAAACGTGCGCTCTCAGCGATCACGAAAATACAAGTCGACTTAGCCTATTCTTATTCCGGAGTATTCTCAGTGCTGACCGAAACACTGGGGTTGACCGAAACTTGGTGGCAGGATACTAGCTACGCAGATGATCCTTTTTTCCGTGCACTTCTTGGGAACACTACTTTTACGGTAAAACCCGCCCATTGGGTAGCCTAAGGTGCGTACTTTGGGCGAAGTCTATAATGACACCATTATCATTCAGTTCTTTGTGGTTGAACAGAGCGAAGTTGTCGATCAGGATATTTTTGTGTATTTTGATGCCCGTTGGTGTGAAATAAGGACGAAATGGTCAGGTTACCCCTTTTGAAGAAATTTGAACTTTTCCTATCAATACAATGAAATATGCGCTTCCTAAGTAGCGAAATGTTTCTTCAGTCATGTAAAACATAATGTAACCTTGAATATATTCACTAACATATCCGCTTGTCCATTACAAGACTTACTGCGGGTCACATACTTACTGCTTCTAACCAATGTGTAAAAGACTCTAAAATATAGAAACAATGGAAGTAATTTTTTTAATATTTTAGGCCCTAGATCGCCACCCCCATGCTGTAAGCCTTTGTATAAATCGCTCAACTTTCAGCTTTTCGTGTTTTACCTAACATGCATCCACGAAACGGAAGGTATAATCAGCAGACGAAAAAATTCTTCTACATACAGTAATGCGAAACTTCACTCGGAATAGGCAAATTAGACGTGAACGAAGATTGCCTGACCGTCACATAAACGCTGATTGACTCATGAACACAAAGAATAAACGCTATTTAGAAGTGGCTACAACCTCACCTGTCTGAATTGCCGTTAGTTTTGTTTCGGAGATGATGTTGCGGTTGCAAAACGGTTCTCATCTTTATGGCGCTAGATGAGTCGATGATTATGAAAGGACAAAATGAAAGTGTTTTTCTCTGAGTGCGTCATAGCTGTCAACCAAGTATTTCGGAATGGGACAACTCTGGTTAAAAACACACTCGGAATTCGCCATACTTCAGAAATCTCTACATGAGGAGTACATACTGATACTTACTGACTTCCGATCATGCATTCATTTCGCAATTCCACTAAATCCTAAAGCTTTCCAGAGGTTTCTTCACAGGATTTTAATATGAATATCCTTACGGAGGCAATAGTTTTATAAGAGTTCACATGTTTTTGCCCAGCACTTTGAAGGTTTCGTAAACTGTTTCCGGTGTAATTATGAAAAGTCCATTCAAGTGTGATAGGTTTCGTAATTTGATCATTTTTGGCCAGTTTAGGCCGGAAAACTTATCTGAAGTCTGCTAAATTGCTTATCCCGAGAAACCATTCATACTGCAGGTGGTATATACAATGGGAGTTAATAGTTTATTGCTTAGATGTTACATGGAAGAGATAGCATTCCACAGAAAAATATTTCGTTCAGCTTTTCAAGACTACTGATAAAGCGATTGTTTTCAGCGATGACGTTTCAGCTTCGTTTTGAACTTAATCGTGAGGAACAGCCTAATCGACCGCATGGTGACCACTAGTTGCACTAAAAGGGCACTGATGCCACAGGTCAGTGGAACAGATAGCAACTTCACCGTTAGTAGTTTCGATGCAAATTAATTTCAGTTCATTTGAGTGTTCTATAGCGACGAAGGTTGAATCCGTGTTTAACGTTCATAGCACATGTGGTCCCCTAACTTCGAGTTTCCCAGATTTGGTTCTTCAATGTGAGGCTTGAGTGGAATATAAGGAATTCATCCAAACCAAGTACGCTGCGACGTCATTCCCAAATTGAGCAAGTATGCTTTGCGTGTGTTCATCATTCTTTTAGTTTAATTGCCTTACGCTTGATGAGAACGAACCCTCCGGTGGACGACGTAGATACCAATTTTATACTACGTCATTAAAAGACAACGAACTCTCTGATTACTTGTTGGGCGAATCCTTTCGATGGCAAAATCTGCTCCATGATGGTACCATGTGATTTTCCACGTGATCGTCTGAAATCGAATTTAGTTGATGCTATAGAACTTCAGTTGCATTCGTCAAGGGTCACGTGGTAGGCATCGTTGAACCTCCTACGTATTTATGCATGACTACAATTTTGCATTATTGGGGTGCCATTTAAACGCTTCATCCTTGCAGAATCAAATCAAAGCATACACCACTGGTTGTTGATCAGGTGGCAATTCATCTGTTCACAAACGTCACCATTGGAGGAGAGATCATCGGTGCGCGGTGCGGTGGGCAATTCCTCTTTGCCTACTCTCATATGTAGATGACTTGAAGATTGTCTGTTATTTGTCGCGGTGGCTAGCTGATTTGGAGACGGCGTTTATATTAATTTACTGGCCCGTCTTCGATTTTCTTCTCATTCGATTGAACTTTGAGTCTGTGTAGTTCTGGAAACCGTCTTCCAATGTCGTTGATGGCCTTGCCACTTTTGAGCGTCGCTCATGTTAGAACTAACCAAAACAACATCGGAATTACTTTCTCTGACAGCTGCGCAACGTTTCACCAGCAGTAACGTGTACGACGTTACCAACAGTAGATTCGTCAAGCTATTATGCGATAGGACGTTCCTATTCTTCTGAAACGCAATGTCAGCACATCTAAAGTTCACACAAACTAGCATGCCTATTTGCACCCCTTTATTCAAGCCTCACAGAAGCCGTGGATCACCTTATTGTATACGTTAGGGCTAAGTGCCCGGGCAAACTTTGACTTACATATTCTGAACCACGGGACCCTGAACTGGTTGGAAGTATTGGATACTGCATTGGAAAATCAAGTGTCCATATATTATGAAAGCATCCTTCAGCACGTCGCAACATGGTAAATCTACAATTGAGGTTTCATCCTGCAAGTGTAACCAACTTATGCTGGATGGCCAAGGAACACTATGCAGCTGTTTTATCCTCATTAAGAACCACTATTTGTGCGCATTTAATAAAACTCAAAGAAGGATCGAGTCCATGACTTCCCGGCTAGTCGTTTAAACACAGCCGTTTGGTTATAACTGAAAGGAAGAAGACCTTTGCTGCGGATTTACTTATTGGTAAACATCAACTGAACAGTTACAGACTTGGACAGGGAAGGAAAATTCTCATATGCATCTTCTTCTCCAGCGCGTCTTCTGGAACTTACCTGGATACTCATTGACAGTCACTCAAATGTAAACGAATGCTGGAAAGCAATTCTAAAAACTACGTGATGAATCTACCTTCTCAATAGACGCGAAGCTGATTTACGTGAAACCACATGCTACTCACATGCCTCATCAGTACTATCCACGTTACACAAGTAGCTGACCAGCAGACAGAATATAGCGCCAGTCAGTCTCTAGTCTCAAAAACCACATTGCGTGGTCTTTCGTTGACACACTTCACAATCGGCTATTTTTCAGGTAGATTTTTGCTCATTTGGTGAGATAATTCTTCCTCTGGGCTACCCATAGACTGATGTGAGAAGATTGGTCGAAGTTCAAATGTGACCTCCTCCTGTAAAGTTGCTTGGGATATTGGTGGTCTAGACTTCGAAGATACGTAAGGTGTTCAGCTCTGAACGACCAGGTATCAAAATCACTAGGACCGCTCTCACCGCTGATTTTTGAGACCACTGATTCTTTCACTTTGCCAATATTAGGAAACCCATAGGCAAGCAAGACTGCGGCTGTTCAGCACCTGTAACTGGCCGTCAGTGCCATCAATGTCTAAGGGGACTCTAGAGCGGCGATTTCCGAATTACAGTACACTATTAATATATTTTTTGATCAACTAAAAGTACAAGAGCGTAATTTTACATACGATATACAGACCAAATGGCACAACTTGGTAAGTGCTTTAATAGTAAATTGTTCTACTGACTTCTTCATTGTCAACTGACTTAAAGAAAAATTTTCTACGCACGGATGTAAATGAATCAAACCTCTGCATTCTTGTAATTTGATCAGTTTGAGAAGAGTAGAAGACAACGCGGTTGCAAGGGCATATCTTTTCGTACGCTTTTTACAATCGCATTCGTATCACAAAAGACGATAGAGGCTACGTCAAGCGTATTAAAGGGACTTTTCCAGGAAATAAGTCACTAAAACAGAGCCCAAATGGAGGTGTGAAACTGATGCTAAATTTTTACTTCAGAGTTCAGGCCTGAAACGAATCGATGAAATTTCTATGAGGAGTCTAGCATCTTCATAGCCCATTTCAAGCTGTTGGCAAGGCCTGACACTATCTCTCTTTATATTTAGACAGTATTTTTCTGCTTACTGATATCAAGCAACAATTTGAATATATGGAGACATTTAGCTCAGGTCATCGGAGCACCAGCCTTAAATGTGAACGAATAAATGACAGTATTAGACATTCTGATATCAAGGAACTGGGATGGGTTCGTGTCCCCCTTAGATAAGGCAAGTAAGTACTTTCTAGGGCAGTAAGGTTTTTTATTAAGTTGTTAAGGTTTGAATCTAAGCCATATAAAACAGTGGTTTATGGGAAATAATGTCCATAACAAAAAGAGGGTTTGCGTAGTTGTGCTCACCCAAGAAAACTTACAAGAACCACAAGATATCAAACTATATATAGCTGCTATCCTTGGTTGGACGAACCTATGTTTAAAATATTTTGCGCAAGCCATCATGGTGTAACCAAGGCAATAGTATCTTGTTTGTTATCTCAGGCGACTCTTGAAATGGAAACCCACCTGTGTGAAAAACTTATTCCGTTGCTAGCTAACCCTCGAAGAGGATTGTCTTGATGCCCTTTAAGAGACTGCTGTTCCGTTCGGTGATCCCTATCCTAATACGCTGACCCGATCCTTAGCTATACATGATAGAAAACCAATACATCCATCAGCAAGTTCTGTGACATTTGTCTGAATTTCTCACTATCCTCGCTCTGCCCGAGCTATCTTGAACTATAATCTCCTCTTGATGGCCAAATGTCTTGAAAAGCACTCAAAAGACGAACTGCTTTTTCCATGGAACAGTTACAACTGTAGGCGAAACCCGAGATCAGACCGCTATACTTTACATTCGCCAGCTCACATCCATTGACGATGTTTGACGTTTGCCTCGGTTACATTGAAAAGGATATCTCTAATATAATAAACTTTTCATATCGATCAGTCTTAATGCTCCCTGTGGTCAGACGAGGAAATATTTAACTGAGATTTCGTCTTGTAAGTGAGGCTAGTATGTACTGAAAAGCCAAGAAACACTCCCTTACAGTCGTTTTAACCTTACTATAGCTCATCAGCAGCGCAGATCTCACGAAACTCAAGAGGAAGTCAAAGAGTTTTGACAGCCGTAAAACTCGAACACCGTCGAACGACATAGCTCAACAATATAACACATATTTTTTAGAGTGCAGCAGAACAACTTACAGCTATAGCCGTAATGGACACTAACATTATTTGTAAGCTGAGTAACCCCTAGTTTGGCGATAAATTGCGTCAAAAAGTCCACAAGGTAGTATCAGTGAAACATATGAAGTTAACTAGTTTACTTGGTGCTGATAGAGACCGTGTTGATGCAGTTAGACAAACATCCACTGTCATGAAAACAGTACCTCCGTTTTTGGGGAGTCCCAGTAAGGTCGTCTTCTCCCTACTTAGGTCGCAAGTACCGACATTCTCCCGTCACTTTCTAGAGGCTTGCACTTTGCTCATCGACCAGATGTTGAGAGAGCATGCCTCATTTGTCTGCAAAGTTTTGATTCATGAGAAACAAACTGAAACCCAGTCTTTCACGAACTAGATCTTCGTGCGGTCTGGTGGGTATCTCCGCGGGGAGGGCCAGTTAACCCAAACTTCGACAAACATTTTGGCGAACACCTTGTCTGAAACGCTGCCAATCCGTACTTGTCAACCATTTGCACGGCCATTCCTCGGACTTCCACAGTTTTCCACAGCGAATGGAACGTGATTCCTGAGCAACTTCTGCAAGAACCCGACAGCATACAATACTTTGCTCTTTCATTCAAATTCATCCTTAGAATCGTGTTGTTAAAAAAAGCTGTGTTGTAAAAATATCAGTTGCAGAGATTAGTTCTTTCGTCCGCACCAAAAGGCTTGTAACCTAGAGAGGTTAATGTGCGACTTTAGCATTGAATACATTACAGCTGCCCAACCAAACATAATATTTGGATAACTATTCTACTGCGGCATACTGAAGCCCTCTTGTAGCCAGATGTATCGCTGACTAAGTTAGAATCTGTTTGTTACTGTAGCCATTGAAAATCCGCCACCATGTGGTACGTCTTTGTACATGTAACTGAATGAAAACTCGTTCACGCGTTTTTCACCACGGGTTTGTGCACCGAACAAAGATTGAGTGACAAACTGTACATCTCCTTTTGTTACGTTCCTTCACAAGCAGACAAACCCTGTTCCAACTGATATATCATTGTTGAGTGACCATTTTGAGAGCCCAAACAAAAAATAGAGAGAGAAGAGAATTCCAAAACGCTCATTTCCCTCCTTAAAATTCTTTGGCTAATCTCACCCCCTGACCACCTTCTTTTCCGTAATTGGGTTGGTCCAACTAGGTTTGTTTCAACACAATTTCCCTATTGTTTTCGACCTTCAATTGAAACTCCATTGTGCATAGTCCGCTAAAAACGGGTAGCTCGCAAGTTGAATCCCAAATTCATTTAAGAAAATAATGTACCTGGTGTAAGTTTTCTAATTTAAGGGTAGATCTAAGAAGACTGTGCACCCTTCTTAGCTAAGATGCACTGTATGCGCTGTTTCTCAGCGACCAAGTGGATACATTTATTCCTCAAATCATCAAAAGTAACAAGACCAATCTTTCTCGTTCGCTCGCATTTGATCATTTGATCATTTGGATATTTGATCATTTCCATCGCCTACTGTAGAAAGATGTTCCTCAAAGTCACCGTTCTGGTGCGATCACGTGTCTTATCGAATGAATGCTAATCACGCAGTCTAATGCAGTCAATTAAATTACAACCGCTCAATCATTTCACAAGCTGAAAGTTCACCCCCGCTTGGTAAGTATCGGTACATATAACCTCGCAGTTTCCTATTGTGTGCTTGCACAACGTGTGATAAGGAAAGGGAACAAGAACATCTATTTTGTCTCACTCCACGTTGAAACCATATCGTCCGTCAGACCATTTTCAGAGCTCTACAACTACTCATCTGCCAATATTTATCCCCAAGGTTGCGAAAGATCTAGAATTCTGGTATTATGTTCCCTGCGTGGTGATCAGCTAACCAGCTAAACAACACAGTGATCAGTTTCGTTCTGCAAGTGATATGACGGTCCCCATATTCTTCACTTCCCCTGAACTAGATCACGTCTCCTCTCTCAAAAGACCGGTGTCAAAGTGACAGTCAGAGTGGGTTTTTCCCTAATGAATAGCGAGCACTAATTACTTCTCGAATAATCATCCATAAGAGGTCACTTTCGGAGTGTTGCCGCTTTGAATTCGGATGATTTCCGTTGAAAAGACCCTCAAAGGACACTGCACACATGGACGCTTAAGGACGGATATGTTCTACCAGGAATATGGTCAAATGTGTATGGAATTTACGGTTTTTACGCGTAGAATTTTAAGCGTGGAAAGTTCTTAAACTACGGCCTTTTAGAGACATCATTGAAGAATTCACAAGGACAATGCACCGAATTCTACGCAAAAACAGAAGGCGTTGCTTCCGCAGCATACTATTATTGACAAAAAGATGCTCCTTATTTCGTATGGAGCAGCGATCTGAAAAATCCGCATGCGACTAACCATTTTTGCAAGATAATCATTTCTGGAAGATCTAACCCATCGATCGTTACAACCAGGACAGTCACTGGGTCGTCGTTCGATGAGTCGAACACGCCAATCAGACTGTTCAAGTGTGAACACGTTCGCCTGTTCAGATGTGATAATTCAAATGCATCCAACGTGCATTGGTGGAGTAGTGGTTACGGGCTTGCCTCGCATGTCAGATGTCCGGGGTTCAAATCCCGGCACGGTCATTTGATATGCACTGCTGATGAGCTCTAATAAGGGCGAAACTCGAGTCTAGTGCTTCACTTTGGTGTGGACTCACCGAAATAATTACGCCAGAACAGGGATACGGCCGCTCAAACGAGAGTGGTGTGGCTATGAACAAAGATACCCATCCCGCAAAACCCCAAAATTGCAACTATTCAAGATCATGCAGTCATCAAAGATCACCTCTGTTGGTTGTCTTCAAGGAACCACTTCTGAAATATTCCATTCCCACTGGGCACAATACAGTTATTCTTTTCCCTTCTCCCTTTTTCTCACATCTCTTCCCCTTTCTTTTGACCTAAACGTCAACCATTCTTATCACTGCCTTCTGTGTGTGTCTAGTTTAATAAGTCCATATATGCACTTTTTATAATCACCTTATTTTGGCAAGGTCACACATGGAATCAACGTTCATTAACTCTGTGCATAATCACAAGATTTGGAGGATATGCCATTTTGTCATCCCATCATTGTATTGAATTTGGTAATAAATATCCATGTGAACATTTTTCATCATTTGCGCGTAACTCAGGGCAGCCAGATGCGATCAATACCACCTACATGCAAAAATGATGTATGCAGAAACTAACAGTCGTTAAATTACTGGCCACTTGTCTAACGAGGAAATCGCTTTTAAGGGCAGGCCGCTTCATCATTTCTGGTGGGGTTGCCAAGACCAGTCGACACAAGTGTCTGCTGTTCACCTGCTCATTTGACTACAGTTCTTTTTTGAAACAATCAAAGTATGTACACTTTCTAACTCGACTTCAGCAACCATAATTTAGTTTTTACCTTGTGCCTGCTATCGAATGGGTCTCACAGAATACCCGTTTGAGTTCGTTCTCCCTCCCGTTTACAAAACAGAAGGGTAGATTTTTACCATTGGAATTTCTGTACATCAATTACATTATTTTGGCAAGTTAGGTTTGCGCACAAAACTACAATGCGCCCCAAAGAAACAGTCTTGAGGACAATAACCTACGATTTCATACTTAAGCATCCAGTTTTTGAGGAACCCAAACATCAAGCAATTCCAATGTCGCAAATAATTTGACGCCTCGTAGGCGAAAAAACTGAAACACATTAGTGATTATAGTCAGCACGTAGTCTAACCATAGATATTGGTGACCAGACCGATCCCGTTGCAGTGCGCATCCACGATCCTACCAACCTGGTTTACTGGGACGCTCGTGTACTCTGGAGATATCTGTCCACAGGTTGGTTTGCTTGTTTAGCACCATTGATAAACTTGCAGTCGGTGCAAATAGATCGGGCAGATTGTTTGTCTGTACTGTGATCAAACTGATCTACTTCTTATTTCACACTTTTACGCAGCGAATGGAAAGGGATTTCTGAGTGCCTGCAGCGGGATTCTGATTGCATGAAAGGAGTTTCAGTATCGAAACCTCATAGCACTAATTTTTTTTCCAATTCATCCCGAGGATAATCCTGATGAGACAGTATTAATGAAGGCCTTGCTGCTTTTGGAATCTTCTCTCATCCTTCACTAAAAAACAGGTTTGTAATACGGACGAACTACTAAACTGTAACCGGAAGAGCCAATCAAATAAATAGGACGGCCAAATACATATCCAGCATACATACTCTAAAACTCTTTTATGGTAGCCAGTCGTATGTGCTGCCAGTTAAGTTACAATCTTTTTGCTGTTGCAGCCACTGGAAATTTGCTCTCAAGTTTTACGTCCCTGTGCATCCAACTGAATGTGGTCTCTTCTACGTTTTCCTAATAATACGATGGTAGAGTGTGTCGATATTCTCCAACCAAGTTCTCCATTGTATAAAAGCTCGTTTGTCGCCGAGTAGAACCAGGTTTGAGGCATTATTTAGAAGATAACACTGAAAACTCAACAAATATTTGCCCAACTGTTTCTAAAAACGCCCATTTATCTCCCAGGAATACCATGTTAGGTCTCCTGATCTCGGTTGTCCTCTATTCCGTAACTGGCAACACTTTCAATCGGCTTATTGTCCGACCAAGTATGTCCCATCAGCGAGGTATCGTTGTGTCCCTCCGTGTCTTGCAAGACCATTAAGAAATGCCCTTTTGGAAGGTTATTATTCCAGCCGGTTCTTGCCCTCAGTATTCTACTTATTTTGCCAACTGGATATTATCGTTTTTGATGGATAAAGCTTTATCTTTTGTGTAAATCTTTCTCAAATGTCGTTGAAAATTTGCCGTGACTGGCGCCTCACTCTTTGAGCGCACAGTCACATGTGACATTTTTCAGACGATGTCGCATGTTCTGGGCAGTTAAGTTTTCGGGACTTTTCTTCGAAAATCAAACCAGGAAATTTTAGGATCCAGGTTTCCGGGTTTCTGGATGTGGCACGTAGGCTTGTTTCAGAGAAAAGCTGTACGTCATTTTCTAGAAAGCTCCTCTCCGATGTGATGCTCCTTTCAGTAAATTGTCCAGTTCCTCCATTATGAGGCACTTTAGAAGTTCGCAACCAGCAACTGCTTGGTATCCCTCCCTCTTTTATACAGCCTAACTGGCGAACAATACCAGTTCATCTTCAGCTAAAGTGCCGCCCAGAATAGATTGACTTCAGGATAGACCACCTTTTCTCGGTCTATCAAATTGGTAATGTTCAGTAGTTTGTCTCATTCCCCTATTGGTAACTCCTGGTTCAGTTGCAGAACGAAACACAGATTCTACGTCGTTTTATCCTTCATTCCAGAGTCGGAAGCGGAGGATGATGGCTCAGCTGAAGGTGCCGTAGGATATTCCGTGTACCAGCCACACCGCTGGTGACTGCCGTGGTGGTACCATGTAAACGTACCGAAGCATTTGATTTCACCTGCGGATTTCAGGTGCTTACTTTCTGTTCCCTTTGTCACACTCGAAAACCTTCCCGTGCGCCGTGATTTGTCCTTCTTCCTAAGCAGATTGTTGCTTTAATCTTCCGTGTTAGCAAAACAAATAATAAGATTGAAATCGTTTTACTGTTGATAACTTCTAGAGTTCTGTATTCGGACGATTCTCAACGTTATCCTTTGAATGCTTCAACTGATAGGAGCCTTATATGTGTGCTCCGAAAAAATTATGTAAAGTGATTTCAATTGAAAAAAACTTGTTGAGTTGTCCGTACGAAAACCGTGAGTCAGGCGTAGGTTAGGCTATCCGGGATATTAAGATACAGCCTTGAATTCATGATCTACCGCCGGGTCTTCAGCAAAGATACGGTCCTATCAGAAATACAGTGTATGGATGAGGTTGGGTGGGTTGTACAGACAGTCCGGCTTAACTTAGCGCTTTGGATATCTTTTCTCTGTGGTCATTTATGCCCGACAAGGCGCCGTCCGGCAGGTATTCGAGGAGCTGGTTCTGATAGCTTCGCATGACTTTTGAGTCCACTAGCTTCCCAAGTGCTAATCAAGGTATGCGCGTCTTAGGTACACCTGAAAAGCGCAATAAAAAGCAGCTGTGTACAAGTGCATGGTGGAAGTTCACGTGGTGTTCCAGTAGCAGCGGCAGGCGGTTATCGACCCTCGCCACCGATAACTGATGGCGATGTGCTTTATTTGGATTCGGCACTGGTTTGTTCGTGGGCACCACTTTGTCAAGTGATTTTTGCTATTCCTGAAATTCGTACTGCAAAGAAACAGTATGTGATCGGCACACATCTGCAGTAAGCGGTCTCCGTTGTGTGTGCGGCTCGTGTCCAAACCAAGATGACCACCCAATTAAGCCCAACAGCGCTTGCTTCCGTATTCATATCTCCAGCAACCACAGCAAGATCTTAAATTTTAGCCTGCTGTAGAAGAGCACCTAGAGCGTCATAGACACTGTTTAGCATATTCAGAGCTGCAGTCAGTTGGGACGTAAGCAGACACAATAAACTAGGTGCGATGAACCTCACTTCTTCTATATTCTTCCACAGGTGTTGTCAAACGAGCCGCACAGAGGAGACTATCAACGACTATCCAATCAAGCGGAGACGCTTACGATTGTTCGTTCAACACAATCACACCCCAGCGTATCCAGCTACCGTGGCCTCCACGTTACTAGAGGTGCGAAACCGAGAGCCACGGAAGAGAGCAAGAGTACAGTCTGTTCGATCAAAGTACTTGAGTTCTGCGTCCTTGTTTCTGACAGACAACAGGTATCAATGCAGAGGGAATGAAGCTTACGAGCAAGAATTACTTGTTAACCTGTTTGCTCCAGTGTGCGAACATTGAAGGTGATCAAGTAGACAGTTTTAAATCACACTTCGAAGTGTTGAGGATTGTGACTGAACTCAGACGTACAGAAGCTGCAGCTGAATGTGATGCATGGCGAGCAACTCGGACAGTCTTGGGGCTGGGAACTGTAGAGAAACAGTCAAATTTGGCGAAATACGGAAAACGTGAAAGTGTAAGAAGGGAGGCGTCAGTAGTAGCATGTTTTCGCTTAACCACCCTGCTGTATGCAGCAAGTAAGGTGACCCGGCTGATGGCACTACTCGTCGGCCGATGTAGCATGAGAGTATTGTTAATTGTAGATGTCACTGTTGTACGAAGGCCGGGATACTGCCGGGATGCCCACACCTAGAAAATAGGACGATTTATGTCCATAACCAAAGCCTGTAGCTCAAAAGCCCAACCGCAAGGCAGCGGTGTTGGGCTAGAAATGCAAGTACATCACCATTTCTACGGAACACGTCGCCACACATGTTACCATCTCCAACCTGGGAGGCCAGGAAACTGTGTTCGTCAGACATCTATGCATGGACCAACTTAGTATGACTGTGAGTGTCCCACGGACGCTCCCAGTATAGCTCAATTAATCTCCAAGGCACACAAACCACCACATCATGGCAAGGTCCGGCCTCTTTGTGAGGGAGTGCGTCACTGTTTAGCATCGCGCATCATCCTAGACTGAACACCAAATAACGACAAGCGAAGTACTAACCCAGGATAGGTTGTGCTTGCATCACAGCTCTCGTTAGTGTTGCAACCAGACGGGCGTCATGATTTGAAATCGCCACATTATCTCCTTGCGAGTAACACAGTGGAAAATGGGTATCATTCACAAAGACACATATTGGTGTCACTGCCGTACATTTCCTTAAAATATCTTCAAGTTTTCTCCGCACGCAAGGCAAGCTTCCCAATTAACAGTGTTGTCCCGAAATTGGTTGAAATATATCACACGATTTAAATCAAATGTTACGCATGAGGAATATTAAGGGAACCGGACGTTATTCAAGGATTTATCAGAGTTGAAATTAAATCGCCCCTTCTGGAGTGACATTGTAAACGTTAAACTATTCAACAATTTGTTTTCTCGCCTTTTTAGGAAGTTGATTCATGCGAGAGGCTGATTCATGAGAGGCTGGTTCTAATTACGTGCTTCACACCAAAACATACGAGTACTACATACGAGGTACAACTTCTTAGCAGAGGTTTGTACCGATAGCTGGTCATGGCTCAGTGACCGAGTGAGGTAAATTTGGAAGCAGACCTGCCGTTCGTGTTTCAAACCCGAGTGAGGTCACCCCACTCCTTCTCGACTTTCCCGGTTAACACGTTCGTTTATAGGATGCTACTGCTTTTGCTGAGTCATATATAGCATAACAATATGATCGACCAAGATAAAAGCAACCAAATGTCCCGAGTACATGAATCGCATGCCGCTCCTTTCTGCCGCTGACTAGAAGCACACTCAAATTATTTTCGCCGAAACTACAGGGGTTTCGAAGTTGTGACTTCAACGGGGAGTGAGTCTAATCCATTTGCACCTTTTGGCAGCGTGTTGTTTGTAGTATTTCGTTTAGGTGAGCGAAAAGGTCACGACACGAACCATCATCGATTCGCATTTTGTTACCGGTTTACGCGAGATAAAACACGAAATCACGCTGCAGCATTTTTGACGCTCTTCGGTGTTCGTTAAGAACGAAAGGCATTTAAAAAGTATATAATGTAGATTCCACCCTGGAAGATTGGTCATTGACGGTTGTTTGCTTTGCAATCCGCAGATTTAACAAATGGAATGATTTCGTTCGGTGAACCTGGTCACAACACGTGGATTTCAACTACTATTAAGTGCAACATTATTAGACAACAGCATGAACTGTGCAGTAGCGATGCGAGGGCCATCTCTGTTAACGATTCTCTTTCCCAGATGTGCATAACTAGCTTGTAGATAATGAAGCGTCATGATATAGCTGCGACGCCGACTATGCGACCTCACCTATGCGCAGTAACATAATCCAAAGGCCAACGACGGTCTTTCATGCTCATAACTATACGCGATGCCGCTTAGCTTTGCTATCTATAGTAAACACCAGGCCAGTCTCCATGCGTACCGGTAAAAAATAAGGCCCCAACTATGCGTGATAGCCTGATCTGACAACCTGTCGTACTCAATGCTGTATTCGATGTTGCCCTACTTTGCCACTTATCGTACCTGATAGGTCCCTGTCCATGTACGGCATTTATTAATCGGCAACCTAATCCATCCTACTCTGTCGTACTCGTAACTGTAAGCGTTGTCGCTTATCTTTGCTACTTATGATAAACACCTGGCCAGTACTTATGCGAACCGATGAATACGAGGCCTAAACTACGCACAAATATCTAACCTAGTGACGAACGACGGACATCATACTCAGAACTGTACGTGATACCATGTGTTTCAACTACTTTTTGAAACTGCTAAGCCAGTGTCTATAAGCGACGCTGATTATTAGGCCTAAACTTTGTGTAGTGCTCTAATCCAACTGCCAAAGATGGCCCGTCATGCCCACAGCTGTAGCACTCTCGCTTACGTATGCCACCTGTAGGAAACACCAGGCCGGTATCTATGCGGCTGGACAAAAACGAGGCTTCAACTATGCGCGATATCCTAAACGACCAACACTCATAACTGTACGTGATACCATGTGTTTCAACTACTTTTTGAAACTGCTAAGCCAGTGTCTATAAGCGACGCTGATTATTAGGCCTAAACTTTGTGTAGTGCTCTAATCCAACTGCCAAAGATGGCCCGTCATGCCCACAGCTGTAGCACTCTCGCTTACGTATGCCACCTGTAGGAAACACCAGGCCGGTATCTATGCGGCTGGACAAAAACGAGGCTTCAACTATGCGCGATATCCTAATCTAACGACCAACGACGGCCCGTCACACCCGTAAGTGTATTTGATATCACCTACTTTGGTTATTTGTCGTAATTGCTAGGCCTGTGTCTATATACGACGCTGAGTATGAGGCCTCAACTATGCTTAGTAGCCCAGTCCAATGGCCCGTCATACTCAGAACTATACTCGACGTCACGTGCCGAGGCTACCTATAGTAACCGCCGGGCCCGTGGACATGCTCCGAGCAGACTATACTGACCGAACTATACATATTAGACTAATCCAACGACCAACGACGGCCCTTCACGTCCATACGCCGTCCACCTGCCAACACTCCATTACTGAAGAATGCACAACCACCTTTACAAACTCATGTTTCTATTTATTGGTTGCATCGGTACAAACATAATTTGTGGTTAACCCGGTTCTCAGTATATTACTCGACAGGGTTTCTGAAAAAATGTATAATCGGTTACGACTCGTGCACATCTTCTGCGATATCATTTAAACCACATTGTTGCAACTTCATATATATTTAAAATTGCCTCCAATCTTGTATGACTGCCTTCCCGGTTGACAATTCAAAAGGACCGCTCTTTTTGAACTGGTGGAATTGAACTCTATTTCAGTTTTGCAAGACATCCATATTTTCCGTTTTCTTACCGCGCAAATCGTTTTTACCGCTTTGATTATACTATTTTTGTACCAAAACCTTGGACAGGTTTATATTGTTTCAATTCATGAGTTTGAGACGCGGTTTCGGTCACGCGTTGACTGTTGATCCATATCGGCTTTGCTTGCCTTTTGGAGTACCTCACCGTTTGTCGAAAACCGTTGAGGTTTGTAATTTTGTATTCCGTGTAACTACTTTCATTTTTTATAGTACAGCACATTTGCGTAGCCATTCGTTCGGAGTTTTGCCGGTTTGGTTGCTAACCTTGGTGCTCGTTGCTCAAGAATTCGAAACGGTCGTTACACACATGATTAAGCAAAATTTTGGTGAATGACTGACCAACTACTTAATAGATCCCTTTTTCCGCAATTCACCGTCGTTGTCCGCACTGAACCTGGAGAATTACTCTTATAAGGGTAAACTCACTAACTGCTGAATTAGTCCTACTGGAGATAACGAGGGAGCCGTGTGTACACTGACTTTTCGATAGCGAGATTTGGCAACCATATGCATTGCTGGACACAGCGAAGTTAAAGCTAAAGAGGGGTGTACACCAGTCAGTGGTGTAGACCTGAGCCCTAAGACCAAAGGGCCACACGCATCCCCAAGTTTACCCATGTATGCAGCCGTAGCAAAGATCTAGTGAGTGGGCTAATGCTGTGTCGAGTCCGCCCGTTTAGGACACCAAATCCCAACTTCACTCAATTTCTGCTCTCCAATACCGATGCAATGTAGCTTAATAAAATCGACAGCCCGATCTTTCTCATCCAAACTCGTAACCTGCTCATACACTGTGCCACACTATCTCTTCAACCGGATCAGAAAAATACCCACGATCTTATATAAGCTCTGATCTATCTTTGAGGATTTTCTCGGCCAACCAAAAATACACCTCCCTGTGATAATTAGAATAGTGGCAGGTATCTTAACTACCGAATGTACGCGTAGTATAGAAGTCCGAATATGGACGAATGAATATCGTATATTCTCAAATATCGCGGGCGTACCATCAATCGTATCGTAAAACAAAGGCATATAAAAATACACTAAACTGAATGAACAGAACAGAGTCAATGTTCACCACATCCACTACACGTTAAATGAGCGTGCGGTTTTTATAGTCTCTAATAGGTTGGAACCTCAAACGTTCAGATCTTCTCAACGTCGGATTGTCAGGTTAAGTGTTTGTTTCATGCACATCAGAACCATCTGCAAGAGAATCAGAAAGGTCATTAGTGTTTGAAGCAACAGACGTATTGTCGCCAAACTGACCTCTAGCATTGAGTTCGACCTGATCAACATGCCGTCTGTGACTTGAGAGATCTTCGAGGTCAAGAACCGTGACCATACGATTCCCGTTCCTCCCAATAACAACACCAGTAGATGGACGTAGATCGTTACCTTTGAAAAATGTTACGTCGGCAGTCCCAATGCATTCCAGGTTCGTGCGTAAGGATCTCGATTTGAATAGCTCTGCTGGACTCTTACCAGTAATTGAATGAGCAGCATTCCTGTACTGCATCAAGAAATTATCAATACCTCGATCAAGATCATGGAAAGTAACAGGGGAAGTAGAATTGATGGCAGATTTCAAAGTTCGAACAAAATTTTCAGCAATTCCATTAGACTGTGGATGACGGGGAGCAGTAAATAAATAACGAGTCAATCAATGTTCACCCCACTCTCCTTGCAGAATCGTACATCCAAGCCAAATCATCTAAAAAATGACGCCCGTTACGGGGCTGTACAGAAACCGAAGTATTTTAGCGCAATGGTGGCATTGCACTGCTATATTGA